TACTTGCTCGAAGTCGCGGACGGTCCGTCGCGGACCTTCCGCTCCATCTAAAAACGCTATTAATGCCTAGCATTAAATAGCAAAGATTAAAGGAGAATAATACTATTCATATTATATTCATGCATGGTAGAGGAAGGTAGGGCCCTAAGGTAGGGATCCTTGACAGTTCTGTTTGATGATTCATTTGACACATTTGAAGTTAATTTGGAATTTTGTGGATATTATTACATAAAATAAATTAAAAGTTAAATGTTTAAAAGTTAAAAAAGTTAAATTAAAAAACTTACCCAACATTAAAAAAGATACTTATGACAGATCGATGTAGGTAACTGTGACAGATCTCTTTTTCGATACACACTTAACTAAAATGCACTTCACTGTGCTGCTTTCCTTGTACATGCTACTATAATAACTGTTAAAATAACAGTCCCCATTTTTAACACATTATTTTCATATAGGCTTCATCACATACAGCCATTACTCGCTGAAGAGTATTTGACACGCATCAGTAGATTGTCACGCAAGGCGTTTTCTTTCATGAGCTTTTCTGTGACTGAAAAGCCCGATACGTGACTTCATCATAATAATTTGAACCACTGCATGATTTACAAAACACCTTGAAAAGCACACAATACTTTTAATACCTTTCTGAATGAATAAATGTTGAGAATTATTGTCTTTTACCGCCACTTTACGAACTACTTTCAATCGAAGAAAATACATGTTTCACTCAACAATTTTAAATACGCATTTATATATTTATACGTATTCATATTTTGTGTTTTTTCGCTATTTTTTCTATGTATTTCGACAGTTCCATCGACAGCCCAACCATCGTGTCGACCAAAAGAGCCGCGCATCACTGGTAACTGCTCCTTTGTCGCGCCGCCGCGCCGTGTCGAGCTTGCGTAATGCGAGGTTGGGTAGTTTCAACAATTTCAAATTCAAGACACTCAAAGGAATCAAATTCATGTTAAATTTTAAAAATAAAACAGAAAAAACATTAAAGGAAACAAACAAAACACAAATGAATTGATTGTTTATAAGGTCACAAAAAAGAAATCTCTAAAATGTTTATCGTAATTCAGAATTCAATATATCGAAAACAACCCGACGAATAACCAATTCCTTTTTGTTTTGTTTGTTTCCTTTCATGTTTCTCTGTTTTATTTTTAAAATTTAATACGAATTTGACTGCTTCGAATGTCTTGAATTTGAAATTGTTGTAACTACGGCAACGTTGCTTAACATCGTCGTCTGACGCAAGCCCGCCACGACGGCGCGGCGCCTCATCTCAAAGGACAACTTCACACGCGGCTCTCTTAGCTGTCTCTCTGTCAATGGGATTGTCGAAATACATCGAAAAAATAGTGAAAAAACAAAATACGTATTTAAAATTGTTGAGTGAAACATGTATTTTCTTAGATTGAAAGTATTTGGTAAAGTGGCGATAAGAGACAATAATTCTCAACATTTATTCATTCAGAAAGGTATTCAAAGTAATGTGCGCTTTTCAAGGTGTTTTGTAAATCAGTGGTTCAAATAAAACAGAGAAACATGAAGGAAAACAAACAAATCAAAAATGAATCGATTATTCGTTGGGCTGTTTTCGATATATTGAATTCTAAATTACGATAAACATTTTAGGAATTTCTTTTTTTTGTGACCTGATTGTGAATAATATGATGAATCATTTTATTAAATTTATTCCAAAATAAAGTTATTTTGCAGCATAACAAAGATTTTTACGAAAATCATCACGTCATAAACGTAATGTTTTGGTTAATTTTCGGTCGTTTTTGAAGTTTTCATTGAAAGGGTAAGTACTAACAATAATTAATGTGTTTTTTTCTATAATTATTAATAATAAGCACTGATAAAAGATTAAATTTAACATTCCTAGTTTTTTGAGTAGAAACTTGTCTATGAATTTATAAATGTGGAAGTATGTAGAATGTGGATAACATAGGAGGTTGCAACACTGCAAGGTTTAGATACACCGTAGAGAAATCTCAGGTGAATAAACAAGTGGCACTAAAAAGTTTTTTCAAATTTCCCGAAAAATGTCAAGAAAAATTTTAAATTTTCAACATTTTTTTTTCGCAAAAAAATCTCATAGGCGTGTTTCTGGGGTTGAACTATACTACCAGTTAAAATATCTGCACTCATTTCTGGGACACGCTGTATAATATACATACGTGTTTGTAGTAAACAGATCATTTATTAGATACGTCAATTTGACGTACCTGCTTCAGTAGTATTGTAACTTATCTATTTTTTATTGGAATTATATATTTTTATACCAATTTTAATATCTAACTACCAACAATTATCGGCAACGTAAAATAAAACAACAAATTACTGAGTCTACTCTACATCATATTTTTACGCGTTTTGAATAAAATTAGAACGACACTGTTAACAGGAAATTAAGTCGGCCATTTTAGGTCACCGTCGCGTTCTATCTAAGTTTTTTGATATGCTCATTCCTTAAACTTTTTATTGAAAGTTGCCTAGGTAGAAACAAAACAAAAATAGGTTATTAAACTGACATTAAGTGTCAAATTCAATAAGATGCACTTTGTGCATATATCGTATGATATTTCCGATGCACGTGATCAACTTTGAGTGACAAACGATGGCAACAGCGCTGCCAGATTGTGATGGATTTATGAGATGAATCTTAATTTAAAAGTGACAAACAATATATTATATCATTTTTTAAAAATTTGGACGTTTTATTTTTAATTTATTAACTAATATTTTAGTAATTAATTGATTTATTTTTTTTATAGCTTATTTAAAGCTTATTTTACTTATCACATATTGGCAAAAACTAGTCCTTTATGAAAATTATTCTAAGCGTTATTATGGGTTATTTATTTATTTATTGATGTACAGTACATATTACCACGCCATAAGTGGTAATAACAAGTATCCATAAGTGGATCCGCCATAAGTGGTAATAACAAGTATCAATGCACAAACTGATAATCACAGAATTTAATAAAAACTAACGTAGAAATAACTTTAAAAGTGGTGTAATGTGCTTATCAATCAAACTTACTTCTCTGACTGCAGTCAAGTGTAATAAAGGACCTTTATTGTCACGTTCTCGTTCAAATTAGTTTATCAGGGAAGCTATAAGCTCTTTGCTTCGACTGTTTAAATGTCAAGAACTGTTTGTATTTAAAAGTGCCATTTTTAAGAAAAGACTAATAAACGACACAATAATAAAAAGAAAAAATAATAAACGACAACCTTGCTGAAAACGGCGCAATGTGACCAATATAGCGATAATAAAATTCGGTTTAAACTATATAATTTTTGTAGCTTTAATCTAAATAAAATATCCGTTACAACCATTTGCCCTATAAAGTAAAATGAAGAGCTGCTCGGTATCTTAAATTATACAACAGATTTAAACATTTTTGCAAAATTTCATTTAGTCAGGTTTATAGACTTTAGTGTCAATGTCGATATGATTGATGACGTGCATCGGAAAATGTTTTGCGATTACAATAGATATAATTCCTTACAAGCTATTATTATTTATACATTTAAATAATTATCTGCTATGTTTGCAGATCCAGAATATTAAATTTTGTAGCTATTTACGAAATTTCTTGTTTTATTTATACTTAAACAATCACAGTCTTATGTATTATTTAATGAGGTGCACCAAAATAGGATAACATAACCACGCTGTTTTGGAAAATTTATGCTGATACGGCTAACACTAAGCTACACCTGATAAATAGATTGCCATGGATCACACGTGGATATGCACGCCATTAAAAATGCAACGCCTGTAGGCAGAGTTCGATACTCGTCTAGACCAAATTCGGAAATAATTCCTATTTTATGCATCAGTTTATATTAAAATAATTGTTTCTAAAATAAGCCTTCGAAAACAAATCTCCACTAGGTATCTATTATTGCCAGTAGGTATCTATTATTGCAAATAATACGATAAAATAATTATTTCAAAGATATATTTGATATTAATTACTTTTAGTTACGTCATGGCGGGCGCGAGCTTTAAATTCATTGTTGCCAATCATGAACATATTCGGCGCCGGACTGACTAACTGGAATTTAAATTTTCCGCTGGGGATTCGGTAAAAAATGTCAAGTTGCCACATATATTTATTTATTTCCTGACATTGTCATTCGTTTTGACACTTTAGTTTTGTATTTCTATTTTTTTGGTTTAAATGAATTGCGTTGTGATTCTTTAAGCTTCATTCAGAACCTCCCAATTAGTGGAATAAATTAGTGGTTTCAATTAGAGGAAAGTGGGGGAATACCGCGCACCTAAGGCATATAATTTATTAATCATAGTTAAAACTAATTTAAAAAACTGAAACTGATACACTAAGTTATGCGGTTATTACGGAATATATATAAGTGGATATATAAGTAGATATATGTCGGTTCAGAACGTTCTACGACGTTTTCCGACACCTAACCTCCACTCTTGTCTATTTAGCCAGAGATCATCAGGTATTTCTCTATTTTCTAGTTCTTTATCCACACCCTCACTCCAGCTTCGTCGCGGCCTTCCTCTTTTATTTCTGCCTCGAGGTGTCCACAGTAAAATTTGTTTTGGTATTCTGTGATCGGGCATTCGTTGCACATGACCAAACCATATGAGTTGTTTTGTTCTTATGTCGTCCACAATTGTGTGTTCTGCTCCCATAATCTCCCTTACTCTGTATTACGGAATACTTAGCAATATTCTATTTTATTTTTATTTTAAAGTTTGTTAAGAAATTTTGTTATTTTAAAAATAATGCAAACGCGCGATATTACCCATCCCGTGGGGTAATAATGCGCAAATTGTGGCGTAATATCGCGCCTATTAATTAGTGTAGTAAAAAGCTGGGAAACATTGAATAAAACCCAATGGTCAAAAAATAATTTTTATTTTCTCTATAAGTAAAAAAATCCTTTCCTTTTTGAATTAATCCAAAATTATACAAATTAAAACTGTAGAATTATTTTTCCTTTTTCTCTCGTGTTACGTCCCAAGTCGACATTTGCAGTTCTAAACTCTTCAGCAGGAGCAAAATTATCAGCTGTAAATTTGTCCCTATTGAGAGGAAATATTCCGGCAGATTTTGAAATCTAGTTATGGCTTTCTCCATTGTTGCCACCTTGTCATAAGCTTTATTAAATAAACCGGCTAGCTCATGCATGTTTATCTTTTCATGGGCTGTTATTTTCAAATGGAGTTCACATTCACGATAATATGCATTTTTCAAAGGACCGTAAAATGTCACATCCAAGGGTTGCATCTTGTGGGATTTGTGAGGTGGAAGTGAAACAACGTGAATGTGATGGATTTTGCAAAATTCATACATATCTAAGGAAATGTGGCTCCCATGATTGTCACAAACAAGTAAAACAGGGTCAGCTATTGAAGGTTTTGCATGTTTATTGAAATGTTTCAGCCAGTCTGCAAACAAGTCCTGGTTCATCCATCCGTTGTCGGAACACTGGTATACAGCGCCTAAGGGGCCTCCAGTTTCGAGAGTAACACTCGTTTGCTTGCGTGGGAAAATGAAGAATGGAGGTATGTAGCCACCTGCAGCATTCATGCTACACATAACCGTAACATTTGATTCTTCAAAGGACGTTGCAATTCCGACTTGTTTTGTACCTCGAGCTGCATCCATTTCCACACTTGTTGCCACGCCCTTTCTAATTTGAAGTTCAATAAAACACAAAGTTTACTTAATCTGAATGAGTTGCATAGAGGCCACTAGCTTTTTAATTTTAACAGCCGGGTGGTCGGGGTTCAAAGATATTAATAAAAGGGCGCCACGAGATTATACTCTATGAACTCGGCATAAAAGATGTTACTATTAAGTAGACTTCAACACTAACCTCGAACTGTTGAGTGTAACTACCATGAACTTCAAATATGCTATAACTCGTTAAACTTAAGTGACTCTAACTTAACTATGAGACTAGACTGTAAATAATACTACTAAAAATATTTAAGCAATTTATTAAAATATTAAAAAGTTAAATATATAAAGAAATGGAAATGAATAAACGTTGAAAAGTAGAATAAAATTTAAATCAAGAAAACTAACTAAAAGTATGACGTCATAATCCCCCTTACTTAAACTAAGTACAATATCCTGGGTGGATTACAAATATCAAACTAAAATTATACTAATCTACACAGTCTTACTCTAAGCGTTGTATAAACTTGAAACAACTCGGAAGTTCCTCCGGCTGAGCTACGGTGTATAGCTACAGGGTGGCTACGGCGGTGCACAGCAGCTCGGTGTACAGTCACTGGAGCCCACGGATGGCAGCAGACGTACGGATGCCGGCCAGGGCCCGTATTCTCTAACTTTGAAAACGGTAAGCGCTTTTAGACGCTCAGCGTATATGACGTTAATTTTCGTTGAGCGCGCACGGTCTTAACGATTTCCGTATTCTCGTCTAACGCGCTTAGCGTCTTTACTGATTGCGCTGAGCGCTTTGAAAACGGTTGCCTTAAAGGATCGTTTTGCTTGTCGAACTGTGAGTGAAAATCGAAAAAATTGTGATTTTGTGCGTTATCTTGCTCTTTAGTGAAAATTACTACTTCTTCTATAAATTCCTTAATAAGTAATTGATAATTTACGACTTGGCAGCTATAAATATTGCTCAAAACATCGAAAATGCTGAGAAGCGTCTTCAACACTTCCCTCGTATAATAAGAATAATGACATATCCATAGAAAAATAGCTTGACATAACTCAACAATAGGTTATGAAATTCACGTAACATTGACATTTTTCATTGTTACATCCATCAGTTATCAATTTTTCACTATTACCTACATTAGAAATGGTGATGTTGCCAATATGTGCTCAACGCGTATCCAGAACACGATACGCATGGCAACGAGAATACCAAAATCGACTGCTTTGCGTTTCGCTGATCGAATACTTGCGCTCACCGCTTTGAACGCGTAACGTTTTTATGTCAAAGTTACAGAATTCGGGCTCAGGTGTAGGACTTAAACATAACAAACATGAAACGTGAACATAAAAAACGTCCAACGGGTAACTCTACACACGGGCAACAGGAACGGATGGAATTCTGGACTGTTCTGTGCTGTACGGTCTGGATCGGTCTTCTTGCTCTTGGAACTATTCGGGGAGTTCAATTCGGGGAACTATTCGGGCACGTGCAATCGGAATATCGGTCGGAAAAAGGCTATTTTAATCCCATTACGGAAATTGGTCGGCGGTCCATGTAAATCCCACAAAATACAACTACGTCTCTGACCAAATGTGTCCCGGAAGACTTAATCCTTCACTAGGAAGACCTGCTAATCACCAACAGGGAATGCTTCACGGAACGGCAGCCAGTTCTTCACGACGATACTCTTCGGTCGGTGGATACACAAGAAGTGATGCAAGGATTCGACTTCCTTCACAAAATCAGATTTCAACCGGAAATCTCCCTCCAGGATATAGATAGAGAACTATATATCTTGACTAGTCCAACTCACAAAAAGGCATAAATAAAAAACGATGTTCTACAATATTTTTCAACAGCCATATTTCATATCCGGTCAATGAACAAACTAAACTCACAAATTCCACAATTAAATGAACGAATTGCACACTGCGATCCACATCAAAAATAACCAATTTAACTACGAAATTTTATCTGATAATTATAAAATTTCAATAACCAAAACAAAGGATAAATAAATCCAAAAACATCTGATTTGATCTGACAGTGACAAGTGACGGACAAAAGTGATGATCAAAGATATAGAGAGATGGACAAAAAGCCTACTGCTGGTCGGCCGTTTCCAGTGACAATATTGTTGAGCTTATGGAGTGTAGAGGTAACAATAAAATTATAGTAAACATGATGCAAAAATAATAGTTATTTGCGATATTGCAATTGTTTCGTCACAATTGTAAATTCTAGATGGAACAAAATGGAGTTTGGAGTAGATTGCCTCTAAATTAAAAAAAAAAAGTTCTACTTCATTGGCATTAAATGAACTTATCCGGTTGAGGCTTGTGCCTTCGGGCTGTCAGAGACTTATTTGAGGGTTTCTTTTCAAAAAAGATATAGCCAATCTTTACCAGCAAGCTGCTTATCAATGTTAAAAAAGTGTTTTATGCCATTCTTTGTTGCATAATCATAGGCTATTTTTCTGAGACCCATTGGAGTAACTCCATAGAACAGTTTAGCCAACTTTATTACATGTTTTACAAGTTCCTGTTCTTGTTGAGTGGTGAATGTTGCTTTTCTACCTAAAGGTACATCGCTGGTTGATGGCTCCACATTTTTCAATTTATCTCGTAGTGTAGACTCGGGAATATCAAAGTCTCGTCCCGCCTTTCGTATAGAAGAACCTTCTTTAATCGCCTGCAATGCTCTTTTTAAGGCATCTGAGCTCCAAGATTTTCTGTTTGTTAGTCTTTTATATGTCCGTGGCATCTATAAAAGAAAGAAGTATAGAAATTAGATATATTACTGTTCAAATCAATGTGGGGTAAAACTACGCACAAAGTGGGGTAATACCGCGCACTTCGCGATTTTACCCCGAGGTGTTTTGCGTAAGAGATTTGTCAACTGAAAAAAAAACCGGCTAATTTGGTAATCAATGTAAGGGTTTAAATTATCTATAAACATCACAGAACTTTCAAAAAAGCAAATATAGAACATTCAACTAATAAAATACGACATACCTTGCTTCGCAAAAGAGAGCACAATATTATAACCTGCACACGCTTTGTAAACAAAACTCCATTGACGCCACATGTATGCATTCAGTGAATTATTTAGTCCGTTACTGTAGTTAGCCATTCGGCCACTAGATGTCAGGACCATTAGCTTTCATAATTTATTTGTTTTGTTGGTAGAAAGCCACTGCGCGATATTACCCCCTGAGCGGCATTCCCCCACTTTCCCCTACACTTTATACTTTTTAGTTTACGATCATTCACAATGCCTAAAAAACACAATAAAAATTAATAAAATATCCTGGCAACAGCTTGCGGTAATCTGTTGTATCCATATAGAGAAAGCATAATATTTAGCTTATACAACAATAAACTTTTGATTTCTAACCAAAATTTTTCTTGACGGGTGGTAATCAAAGGACAAAATGACATTCTTCGCAAATTTTGAAGTATAATGGGAGGAAAATCAAAGGTTTGTTAACTTTTTCCACTAATTGAAAATTACTACCACTAATTATCACGTTCTGAATGCTTACATTAAAATCAGGTGAACAAACTTCTACGGCTAATTAAAACTACTAATTTATTCCACTGATTTCCATTGCCTGGAAACTTATATGGTGAAATTTTGATAAAATAATTTAGTACTCACTAAAAACACGGTACGTCGCTAGTGGTAGGAAAAATAATTTTTAGAGGTTACTAGTTTATTTGGTTGCCTGTGATATGCATACAGGGTGTTTCCTAATCTGAAAAATAAAAAATCATTAGAAAACGGCTTAAGGCGGGCTCTTAATAAGTATATTTATTTTTTTCTCGGCAACCGTTTGATGAACAAGAAAAACTCAAAAGATCAATTTTGTTGAAAAATGATGGCCAGTCAAGAAACAAATATATTTTCTTTAAAAAAGCAGTAGTGTACCATTTATTTTAAGCAAAATATCGATTTTTTTTTAATTTTTAACACCCTGTAGATCAGAAAGGAAGTACTTTAGACCTAATGGTTATATAAAAATTGTTTTAAGAACACATGAGGCATCACACCACAATTTTTTAGACTAATTAGAAAACACCCTGTATATTGTCAACTTGACAATGATTGTTGATAAATCAAAAATTACCTTTTCTGTGAAAAAAGCCCGATTTTCGCAGGAAAAATTTTGGTTTTTATTGAATTTGGGCCTGCCTCTGTAAATACCGGTAGGTTTTTTAATATTCTATCTATCTAAATTTTAAATATCATATTGAGAAATAGTTTTATTATTTATTAACTGTAAAAATGGTATACTTATAAGTTTTATCAAATATTGTGATTTACTTTCTACCTTGTAGTCAAAATTTATATTTAATAAACTGTAAAATATATATATTCTTATGTTTTATTAAAGTTACTCGGATATACTAATATATCAGTGTAACTTTAAAACTAAATCCTTTGAAATCAAATATAAACATAAAAAATATTTACAGCAGAAAAGGCGAAGGCGCTGGGTTAAACGTAGTCACTACTAAGAACACGGAGGGGCGTTTTGACCCAAAATTTTACTATTAAGTTTCATATCTATCTTAATAGAAGATTATTTTCTTTTATCTATGACTGATTTCGAGGTTCTGAATGAAATTATAAGCTTAAAAATTTGTACTAACAGACTTTGCAGTCGGACATTGTTCTTTTTAGGTACTACATTTTCTTTTACTTTTAACAGTGACATTACATAAATCATAAACACTATTTCATAGGTTTCTTGACTGGAATCAAAAACAAATACCAGGTTTTAATGTAAAAATTACGAAAAAATATTAGTGTCCTTTTCTAAAGTGAATATCTCGAAAAAAGCCTATGGACCAAAACGAAATAGTGAAATGAGATGGACCAAAAAATATTCTATCGAAAAAATATGCACATCGATAATAAAACTTTTTACAATTCTTTACTTTTTTAAAATATTCTACAGGGTGTTGCA